GAAATACAAAGTGAAGCAGTTTTTGAGAAAGCTGACATTTTGGGATACTGAGGGCTCTCTCAGATCAGTGTAGGCTCAGTGTAATTCTCCATGCTATGAATTACTTTAAAGAACTGAGTTTCATGGACTCCTTTAATGACTCCACGTGAGTTTCTGTTTCCTCATAATCCTCTTACTGATGCTGAAAGTGAAAGCTTCAGGATCTTCAGTTTGTTTATCTGACCACAGAAAGTCATGTTGGCTAATCAGCATTTGAGCTAAATTAGTACGGGCAGAGTCCGTTTAGTTTAGTGTTTTTGTCAATCCAGCCTTCAGGTTTCTGTCTAAATTTTAAAATTTCCTTTAAGCTTTCTTTTGAGCTGTTTTTTTTGCAAGATTTAAATTTCTCATCCTTTCTTTTCTGTCAAAATATGAAGATTTCTTTGAAGATTTGTTCAGAGTTTCTTCTCAACTTTCTGGGATTCTAGGTGTCATATGCATTTACGTATCTTTCAGTTTTGAGGTAAATGTTTTTTCTACTGGATTTATTTTTTGACGCAAATACATTTCTGATCATAATCCGTGGAAGTCTGATTAGGGAGTAGGTTGTGTTGGTGGATGGTTAAAAAAAAAAACACCGGACTTTCTCAAGAAAACCAAAAAGTCAACGTTGACTTTTCTTAATTCACGTCCTTAAACTTAAATATCATAACAAGCATGCTTATTTTAAGCCAAACCGTGATTCACTAAGTATTTTTTTTGTTACAACGTTAACCATGTGTTTAAAACTGCAAAAGTAATCCGGGAGAACATTTTGCAGTTTAGTTGTGTGGGAATGTAATTTTAGTGTTGGCCAAATAAATGTAAATTAGGGGAAAGAAAAGGTTTTCAAAATAAATGTAATTGAGACTCTACATTTCTGCTTTATTTGCATAAATAAGCCAACAATATTTAATAATAATAATAATATTGTTGGCCAGTCCACGTGAGGGACATTTGTCTGCAGCAACCTGGGAGCTTAACAGACTCCAACCGTATGGATGCACAAAGTTGCGCATTCATTATGCAACTCCCGTCTTTTCTGTCACTCTCCACTGAAAGTTACCAAGCATTTAAAAACAAAATGAAAATCATTATTTTAGAAATGGTGGTGGACTGGTGCAGATGTTTTAAGAGTCGCTCTGAAGCTCGGAGTCTGCGAGTGTTCACCAAAGTGTATCACAGCAGCAGCAGCACTGATCTGAGACCTCTAATTAGCTCCCTGTGCTCTCAAACTCGTAATGACCCTCATTTGTCAGGGAATGTGCAGCTTGTGAGCGATACAACAGAGTGTGTGTTGAGGTGAAGCAGAAGGAAGAGAACTGCGACTCCCAGGGAACAGAGTGGATGTGCACTCCCTGGTCTGATGGGGGCGCTCTAATTAAAGGCCAAAACATAATTTAAAAAGGATATCTCAAACACGACAGGTGTAAGTGGAAAGTTATGATGCAATTTATGAGGTTTGATGGTTGAACACACTGCTCCAATTAAACAGATCACTGTAAAAAAAAATATTATTTTCCTGTGAACACGGAAGTTTATTTTGAAGGGACACTGTGTAATACGCCTTAGCTGACATTCTGTTCCTGACCAGTCCAAAACACTAGAGCGTCATAGTTTGAAGAGTAGGGCCACGGAAAGAGCATCTGTACTGTGTACTTTAGCACTGTCACGAATGCAAACAATATTTATATGTGAATTTCCAAAAGTAGATTTATATTATAACAATGTTGTTTATGTTGCTGATTCACTGTTTGTCTGTTGTTTTTCGGTAAATTCATTAACTGCACATTTGCGATAATAATTTGAACATCATACAGTATCAACAAAGGATGGCCTTGCAGTATTGGCTACTTTTGAAGCCCTGTCTTCCAGAGAAGTCCTCTGCTCACATGTTCCTAAACAAAGTGGTGATAACGCAAACTACTGTTGGGGCTCAATCCAACAATGACATGCGTGGGGTGGACCCCAGGGCCCACTGCACTGAGGTGGAATTTCTTATAGTTTGAAGTGTTTCCCTGGTAACAGCAATATCTGTATGTATTGGACATATTTTGGTAATGATATGCTATTCCTTTGGGTTATAGAGCAATTTATTGTTTTTGTATTTTCCTACCTTGTTGTGATGGTAGACTGTATTGATACTCTTACTCTATATGTTTAGCCTGAATGGCTCCAGTGGTAATCATCCCCTAACCCTGGCAGGAGTCATTAAGAACTTTTATAAACAACTACAAACTATATTTAATTCAGAGTTGTTGTGAAAAACTTTGCATATAACTTTTTATTCTACAATAAATAATGAGAATGTGACAGCGTTTTCTACTCAATGCAGAAACTCTCTGTTTTTCTAAAGTGTGTCAGAGTCAGAGCTGTGATGATCTAGGTTCTCTAATTAGCTCCCCTTAGTCTCAGGCTCATAATGGGTAAGGTTTATCAAAAAGATTATTCAGACAAATCTGTGTATTTTTGATATATGATGTGAAACAAAGAACTAACACTTCCAGCTTTGAATTAAACAGCACTGAGCCGTTATAAATCATCTAGGGGAGTAATTTTAGTCTCTGTTGTTCAGACCGTTTAAATGTCTGAAATATGTGGGTGTACAGATGTTATAAATTGCTGCTATTGAAGGAGATTGTATGAAATTGAGGCTGAACTCTTTTTGAGATTCAAAGGACACAAACCTCATCTCAGATCATTTCATATTTCAAATTCAGTCCATTAATGAACAGTTTCAGGATAAGTTCTACCAGGATATTCAGAGTTAGAAAGTTCCTGTAACATGGCCTTTTGTTGTTATTTCAGAGCATATCAGGGCTCTTCGTGCAGCCTCACCCATTTGCCAAATCTTGTTAATCTCCACACCAGAGCCAAACAGGGCCAGGACCCAAAACACACTGCGATGGGATTGCTGCTGAGGTGGTTCATGAGTGCGGCGATAGCTTCAGATTAACAAACTGGGCTTCGTATCTTGTTCCACAGATATTTTGGATTGAGCACTGTTCAGATAAGCCCTGTTTTGCGCCAATGTGGAAACACAGTGACTGATTGGTTTATTGAGGGCAGTGAAGCGCAGAGCCGTAATTCACCAAAGACTTTTATTGCCTATTCTGCACAGAGTTTATGGAATCTTTTCAATTAGTACGGTCACTGCTGTAAACAGACTTGGTTGTTCGGTCTCTTGTCAGCTTCATGCATCACTGCTTCGTTAGAATCTGAGAAATGCACTTTAAAGGCCTCGACGTTAAACAGTTGCTGGTCTGGGACCAGCTGAGGAAGAGGAGACAATACTGAGGAATAAACTTCCCTCTTTAAGAGTTCAAGGATAAGTGTGGTATGTTGTCTTAATTCTTAACAAATCCCATGAAAAGACCAAACAACAATGAAGAAATCCAACCAATAAGTATTGTGTGTATAAGCCTGATATATCTTTTTCCTCTGTGCCGAAGCGCTATTGCTGTCTAGAAACAATTAAAAACACATTAATGAGCCACAGTGTTGCACTGGGTGACATGTTCCTTCATTACCATGAACACACAAACTGTAGTTTGTTCAGACACAATCCAATAAACACAGTCCTGCTACTGGAAATACTCACCATCAAAGGCACTATTTCCTGAATTTCACCAATTCTTTTGAAAACTAAATTATCCAGTTTTAGCAAATTACTACTGTTAAAAATAAACAATGTGTATCAACTATATGTCTGTGACCCATTTTAAATCAATTTAACATGTTCCTTCATCTTTCCGCTGTCTGTAATGAATACACCAAAAATACTTTTTCTTCAGTAGGAACCATTACGCAGGAAAGTTGAAAGATACAGACTACAATGCTGTTGCTTTTGGTCCCATAATGACTTATCATATTTGAAACTATTCTCAATTCTGAAAGATGCATTTTGCAAATAGTCGTCACTTTGCATCTTTGTAGTAACTTTGGGACACTTTGTGATTGTATTCAATGTGTGTTTTTGGTAATGTTGTGTCTATCAACAGTCATTTTGCATCTTCTTGTAATAGGTTTGCATCTCTGTATTAATTTTGTTATTTTGTCAGATCAGAATCAGAAACGGTTTATTGCCAAGTACGTTTACACATACAAGAAATTTGGCTTGGTGATTGATGCACGGCAATAAACAGTGCAATATGAGACATAATTTAAAAATTTAAATGTGAAAATTTACAATAGTATATAATGAACAAGCAAACAACACAGGGGAAAAACTGTGGCATCACCCTTTAACCTTTCTGTTCCACTGAGGCAGCGTATTGTGGTTTTTCTGGAGAGCTCATAAGAATGTATAGGCCTACTGTCAGAATGTGAAGCAGGACAAGACCTCAGCAAACCCTTTCTCTCGATAAATTAAACCAAAACATGTTGCTGTGAGTTACTTTCATGAAGACTGCTGAGTGCTTTGTCTCGCAGTCTCTCATCGAATAAAGGAGGGTCATGATTCAATGCACAGCACATTTATTGTCTGGAGGGAGATTCATCTCGCAGGAGCAGCACAGGAAACGTTGGACAGGATGCCGGTTTACAACATTCATAGTAGGCTAAACATGACGAGTCCCCTCGGCGACAGCTAGTGCCAAGTCAGAAACTGATACTCTGCCTTATTAACCGCTTTAATATGAGTTTAACAACAGTCTTGTCATGTGCAGCAGCGTGCTGCAGAGGCAGCGCAATGTAACTGGGAGAGGTTTTTTATGGACAGCAACGCAAACTAAAAACCCTGCAGGTCAAAAATGTTTGCAGAACGCTGAATGTCCTGAAAATATCGCGCGGTGTCATGGTGTTAAACGCGCTGTTAGTAATGATGCCTCGCAATTAATTGGCTGATGATGAGGCTAGTTATGATGTAATCTCTCTCACTCTCTCTCTCCTGCACACAGCCAGCCCCCTCCCTTCTCTCTCTCTCTCTCTCTGTCTCTCTCTCTCACGTATCCCCACCTCTTTCTCTGTCTTTCTCTCCTATCCTAACCAACATGGCCGCTAAGTCGGATGGAGCAGCGGTGTCTGTGGAAGATGACAACACGCCCAGGAGCCTCTCGGAGCCGGGGAACCCCACCACCCGGCCCCGCTGCAGCGCCGCCGGCGGGAAACCCTACACCCTGCTGGACTGCTGTTGGGTGCTCTGCGCCCTGCTCGTCTTTTTCTCCGACGGCGCGACCGACCTGTGGCTGGCCGCCGACTACTACCTGAGAGGTGACTACTGGTGGTTCGGCTTGACGCTCGTCTTCGTCGTGGTGCCCTCCGCTGTCGTCCAGGTATTGAGTTTCAGGTGGTTCGTGTATGACTACTCGGATCTGAGCTGCGGGGACGGAGCAGCGAGCGGCAGCGGCACCGGCGCGGCGGCGGCGGCAGGCGCGGCATGTGAAGCAGCCACGGCAGGCGACCACACTTTAAGCACCAAGGACAGCAACCAGCGCGGTGGGAGCGCGGTGGTGGGCAACGCTGCGAATGCCACCCCGGTTTGCACATCCTCTGTCCTGTCTGCGACGGCAGGGACAGTCGGAGCCCCCCGGAGGTGCTGCATCGTCTGCATGTGGGTCTTTCAAACCGTGCTTCACGTCCTGCAGCTGGGGCAAGTCTGGAGGTAGGACCGCTGGGGGTGGTGTGGAACAGGAAGGGTGTGCATGCATATGTGGTGGTGTGTGTTTAATATGTGCGTGGTGCACATGTGAGTATTGTATTCCCAAGTGTTGGAGACATGTGTGTGTGTGTGTGTGTGTGTGTGTGTGTGTGTGTGTGTGTGTGTGTGTGTGTGTGTGTGTGTGTGTATATAGCATTTGTAGCATTCACTTTCACACAACAGTGATAGTAAATAATTACTGGCTTTTTGCCCATCTTCCTTTCTTGTCCTGGTTGTGACAGAATCTGGAGGGTTGCTTCCAGGCGCCTGAGCTCTATAATACTCAGTTTCATTCTCTTGTACCTCTGTTTCTCATGGTCCGGACAAGCTGACAGGAATACCATCAAAGCGCTGGCTGCTTGTCACGTTAGTGATCTTGAAACTGAATCTTTTCTTCCTCCACACTCAGTGAGATTGATAAAATGTAAAATGAGAGGAGGCATTGGCAAAATCTTTAAGGCAGCATTCCACCCACAGCACATCCACACTAATGGTCCTATCCTGTGCTTTGAAGTGTGTGTGTGTGTGTGTGTGTGTGTGTGTGTGTGTGTATTCCCCAATGGATATGTGGTTGGCTTAGAGTAAAGTCCTCCTGAGCCACGTTCACTTGATTTGAGATAATGTGTTTGACTATTTCAGACTGTAAAACATAATTAACATCACAACACCTCAGGTTCACACACACATTGTGAATTTGTCAGTACATCACACATGTGGTACTCTACAGTATGAAACCACAGTACATTAAGTCTTTAACAATCAAAATCACATGAAAATGTCCTAAAATAAATGTAGTTTATTAAATAGGCAATAAAATGGCAGAACAACTTGATGTACAAACATGTTAACTAATATTTTTCATAATGACAAAAATATTATTATGTGCATCAAGTCTGAGCAGTTTTAAGACTCATTCAAGAGAGAGTCCAAGACCGAGACCAAATGTGCATAGTGAGAGCCAACAATATGGGTTGGGTCCTTCGGTGTTTGACAGTGATTGTGATCAGAACAGGAACAAAATAAGTGCTTCAATATCTTCATAACAACTTAGAAAAATCTATAATACATATTATATACGATTTTATTGGAAATACAACATACGTATACAATATTACAAGCTACTAGTGTTGGTCAAGTACTGTATTTAAGGTGCTTGTATTTGATTTGAGTATTTACATTTTCTGCTACTTTTTAGTTCAACTCCACTCAATGTAAGAGAGAGATATTGTACCTTTTACTCCACTACATTTAATTGACAGCTGTAGTTACTTTTCATGTTAACAGTCAACATAAAAACCATATGATCAGCTTCTAAAATACAATGTATTGTGAAAGGTGAAACCAGTGGTTCCCAACATTTTTGGCTTGTGACGCCATACATAGGGACAAAGAAAGCATATTTTTCTTCTCTACTTCAGTAAAAGTACAGGAGTATATTTACATCATGGTATTGGTAGTTAATCAAATGTTCTGAATATTCTTTCCACCATTGCAATGAAAGTATATCTTTATGTACATTTGTGGATAAAACTATACTTCTACACCTGCACTGTAATATTGAAGAATTTTTGGTGAACCGACACCTGACTGACAGCAGAGCAGCCTGTCTAGGCTGTCAAGAGCAGCTACTGATGTTAGGCAGGGAAACTGATAAACAAAGAAAAAGGAAAGAAAAAAATCCAACTGGACTTGGTCAAGACCAAAGAGTGAAACAAGTCAAGAGTTGAAACACCCACGAGACTGAGACAAGTCTGAGATTGAAAAAAGAAACAGACCAGACTTGAGCAATGCAGGAATAATATACAAGCGTTGCAAACAACAATGTAACCTACTCCAGAAGCTTTTGAAAAACACACAGTCACCACTTTAAAATCCATGTCCTACCCAGCAGCGTCATTATTTTTTTATTGAATTTGATATTTTCGAGCACCAGTTTAACGGGAGTCTTTTATTTTCTGCTTGTTCGTGTTCTGTGAATGTGGAAAGCTGGTGGAGTAAGTTGTGTGTTACAAGTTGTGTCAACTTTTTGGAAAACAGAACATGGTGTAAAAAATATACATGACAAGCTGTCGGTACCTTTTGAACTTGACTCTTTGCTGGTCAAACTCAGACAGCAGAGCAAAAATGGTTAAGGGCCTTGCTCAAAGAGTAGGATAAAGGATCAAATCACAGACCATCCTGCTGAAATGTCCTTCAGCCTACTGCTCCAGGGCTACAGCTGACCTCTGACCTCTCTGTGATGGTGGAAGAAGATAGGAAACTACAATATGGGATGTTAAGGGATGTTACCTGAACTAATTAAAAAATGGAGCATGTGGGAATTCACACAAGCATAATTACATGCAGATTCGGTAATGAGCTGCATTAATGAACAACAATAAGATGCTGAGAGGTGGAGAATGAGCATGAGTTGGTTTTAATGTGATAGTTGCAGCCAGGAGAGTTGCTCAGTGTGACTGGGATTTGAGTGTGACTCCAGTTACAAATTTAATGAGCTGAGATGTATTCAGCACCTGTGGAAATGGCTCGCGAATTTCACCTGCAGCCAAACAGTCCAATTTCATATTTATTTTCCCTCCACTGTGATTCAAATCTGACCTAATCAATGTGAACTGCAAAATATCCTGTGTTCCCAATTCACATCTGCACCACATCATTGGCTCAATAAAATCAAATCTTTCAGTGAGAAACCTACGTATAAAATGCATTGTAATACTCAAAACGGGAATTTGTTGACTCATGTCAATCACCTGAGAAAATGTGCCATCATTTTGCAATGTAGCAGCTGGGCTGAGCAGAGAGAAAGAAGAATGGCTGAACGAAAGGTAACTTGAATGGCATTTGGCCTAAATTTCACTAAAATGCCCACTGACTGCTTAAACCAGTCAGCAGACAAAATGTTGGCATTGTACAATCCTGCAAACCATAGGGTACATTGAACGTGTCTGGACAAAAACATGCAGGGAAATGCATAATGAATCGTCAAAATTGTGAAACAATTCATTAGGTTCACGCAACAAAACTACTTGGCGAAGGTTAGAATTAAAGTCATGGTTTGTGTTAAAATAACGTAACAATGTACTGTTACAACATAATGTAACGAGTGTAAAAATACAACTAGACAAAAAATCGCCCTTTTAGCATACTCGTTTATGTACCACGATGTAACAAGTGTAACAACGTTAGGTACACAACGTTAGGTAAACAACGTGAGGTAAAACAATGTTAGGTAAAACAATGTTAGGTAAACAACGTGAGGTAAACAACGTGAGGTAAAACAACGTGAGGTAAACAACATTAGGTAAACAACGTGAGGTAAACAACGTGAGGTAAACAACATGAGGTAAAACAACGTGAGGTAAAACAACGTGAGGTAAAACAACGTAATGTAAACAACGTGAGGTAAACAACGTGAGGTAAAACAACGTGAGGTAAAACAACGTGAGGTAAAACAACGTGAGGTAAAACAACGTAATGTAAAACAACGTAATGTAAAACAACATTAGATAAAAGCACATTAGGTAAAACAACGTTACGTAACAAGCGTGAAGTCAACGTATACTTTGGTTTCATAAGAGACACGGATAGTGGTCTTCTGGGTGAAAGCCCTGTGTTTGTTTGTAACCTACCGTAGACAATTTGTAAACACCTGTAATAGCATGTAACCTACCTTCAATAACGTTGATATTCTACGTCACTTGCTTCCGAACGCAAAAACGTCCACATTCATCGAATCAGTGGTCTTTATAAACTTTTAATGCCAACATGTTTCCCTGTCGTCTAGGCTGTTGACAAATCGTGTTTGCCAGAATCGATTTTGGCAGTAAAATAATAGGCTGTACCTTACATGTATTCATCATAACTCAGAGAGTCAGGAGGGGTATTTTAGATGCGTTTGCTGTGATTTTCTATCCCTTTTCTCCGTCCCTGGCTGCCTACAGCCCCATTATATTTTGCAGAGACCTTCCTCGCCACAAACAACACAGCTTCAGTCGACTCGTGTTTATGTTTTCCTGACGAGCACTTTTAATGGTGAAGTTTTTTTTATCCTTGTCTCTGCAGTGTAAATTTAGTTAGAAGCATCAGATGCATCTTTAATCAATATATAACCTTTATTCATTCATAGTAGATTAGCAGCATCTTGTGTTTCTGTCTCCCTGTTGCATGTTTTAATATTCAGCCTGTTTATACTGAACACTGATGTCATGGGTTTAAAAACCTCTTTTCCATTTTTGTTTTGCATCTCTCTGTCATTCATTAAAGGATAATTAAAGTAAATTCTGATAAAGAAACAGGGCAGCTAGAGATCACACTCTGTTTCTATCTTTTCCACACAAATATTATAATAATTTAAATTCCTTTCCAGATATTTCCTGCAGCAGTGCAAGGGCAGAGGGTTTTTCAACATTGACAACCAAACTAAATGGTTTAAATCATCCAATCTTGGGGGAAAAGTCCTTCTCAAAGGAGAAAAACAGACCAGTGTCAGTAGCCACGGCAGCAGGGCAGAGCCAATAATGCATTGTAGTACGAAGACAGGTTGAGGTTTGAATCAAGGTCGACTCACCTTTACTCGACAGGAGACTCGCTCTGCTGTTGATATCGCTTCCTCCATCTACATTTGAAATCCACAGCTGAAAAGCAGCAAGGTCACATCTCTTTATCTGGTAGGTTGTTGAAAGGCGTTCTGGGAAATGTAGCGAATTTTTAACTGAATCTGATGAAGCACTTTGGGAGAATGTGGATCACACAAGAAGAGAATGTTTGCACCTAATCACTGGTGATCTTGATGTAGTGTGTGTCTTGTACTGTAAAAAGATGAATTGATGTTGTATTTTAAAGACTTTAAACTGATAACAAATACAATGTCGGTGTATTAATTCAATGCATTCTCATTCCAGACTAGTCAAATACCAACGCATTGGTCAGTGGCCCGAAGCTTCAAACTGTGACGCTTTAAGTAC